ACGTATCGCCCTCCATCCTCTCAGCTCTTCTCCACCTCTCGGAGGCGAGAGGGTCGAGGTTCGCGGGAGGAGAACTTCCCAAGTACCAGCTCGAAGTCTTCCTCCTGCCTCCTGCTTGTCCTGGCCTCTCGCTTCTGTTGCGCTCTACCCCGACACATCGCCCTCCTTTAAAATCGATGGTCACCAGGGCCACGCGTGTCGGCCGACCCTCCGAACGCGCCCCACAAATGGGCGCGCCCATCAGCAAGGCATTTCCCGAGCACCCTGGTGGACGGCGACAGGGCATCTGGGTACCGGCGACACGGCCCACCCCCGAGTAAGGCGGAGGGGAGGAGAGAGGAGGGGAAAGAGAGCAGGAGGGAACCGGAAGGTGGAGGAGACGGCAGCGCGAGCTTAGCGTGCGAGCCTTGGTCATTGGGGGGATGGGGTGAGAATGGTGCCCTCTTCGGGCCCTCCGGGCCCTCTTCTGGGCCCTGCGGGGCTGCAGGGGCCCTAGAGGGCCCCTCTTCTGCAGCCTCGCTGTCCCCCCCGTGGCATCGCCCCCCCCCTGACGCGAGGCGCCTCGGCGATCCACTCCATCCCCGTCGCCGGGAGCAGGAGCGGAGGGGCGGAGGCGGGAGCCGCGGCACAGACTCTCCAGGCAGCCGCGGGGCGGAGGGAAGCGCCAGAGATCTCGGGGCGTGCGGCGGCGGGCGCGCGAGGCGGTGTGGGGCAGAGACGTATAGCCGCCACGGTGCGCAGCACGCAGCCCGTGGCGCCCTTGTCGAACGAACAACACACACCCGTACCCATAGGGGGGTCGTTGGGAGGAGGACTGGCTATGGGTATGGGTGCGGGTTGTCGGACCCTGGGGAACGCTCCCGCTCGAACGGGGACCCCCATCCGACAACACGCACCCATAGCCCTCTCCGACCCCCCTGTGGGCATGGGTGCGTGTTGTTGGTTCGTCAGCCCTGGGCCGGGGCTCGGCACGTAGGCCGAAGACGTGAGCCCGGCGCGGCACGCTCGCCGGAGCGCGTGCCAACGCGTGGGGCCGGCACGCAGCGTCGTAATACGGACGTGTCCAGCACGGTACTTGTAGATTGGGTTTCGAAGCGGGCGCGTCGGGACAACTACGGGCATGGCAACTCGCCGGCGCTTGGACGTCGATGCGCCTTGCGTTTTTCGATTTCGTACGTGCGCTGTTGTGCCAGATGATCCAGGATGCTCCCCGATGGTCCTCGCCGAATAAAATGCATACGTCCGGGCCATGCCAAGAAGAAGGGGCAGGCATGAGCCGAAAAGACTACGGAGGAACGGTCAAGCGCCTCGTCAGGAAACCCGTGCGGACCTCCGGAAGTGCATGCCTACGCATTGTAGTATCAGGACTCTGGTGCTCCTCCTTTGAAGAAGCGGTCCTTTTGCCCCTGATTGCGCTCGCCTCCCTCTCCCTACTCTTCATCCTGGTATTGGGGAAAACAAAGAGGTACCGATACGCTACTCCCAGGAACTCTCCCTTGGTGCGTTCTGATCATGATTTCGAGGAGAATCCAGAGGTGGCGACGAGGGCCGCCCAGGAGGCCCCAAAAAAGGAACACGGGGGAAGGGTAGAGGTATGAGTACCATTTCCTCCTCTGATCTTCATCCTCGTATCCCTCCTTCTCCCTCGCCCTCATCCTCCCCTCTCTTCGCCCTCGTCGGTCCCCATCTCGGTGCCCCTGATATCTCTGTCCTCCACCGGCTGGGGGTGCCCGTGCGTCGTCCCCTGGAAACCCCGCCGTGCCTCGGCCAGATCTCCAGCCCCTGGATGGGAGGGAGTGGCTTTAGGTCGGCCATGCCCTCCTACAGGAGGCGAATTTAGGACGAACACTTAAAATGACAACAACAAAAACTATAACATAGCGAAACATGTTCGAAACATCTTTCCCAGACTTTTTTTAAACTACGTTTGAATACTCCTCCTGTAGGGGGACGTGCCCGACTTCAGTGGCTGGGGGCTGTGAGGCTGCAGCCTTGTCGCGAGAGCCTCCGCACCGAGGGCCGAGGATCGGGGAGGACGGAGGCCCCGGATGGGGCATCGCGTCGTGGTCGAGGGGGGTCGAGGAGGGCCCGCGGATCGAGGATCGAGGATCCTGGGATCGAGGATCGAGGAGGGCCGAGGCCCAGGATCGAGGAGCATCGAGGAGGCTCGCGTCGTAGGGGAATCACGACGGGCAGCCGTTGGGGCCAGCGTCGGCCTTGTGGGAGGCCCTGGCCGAGCCCCAGGACCATCGGGAAGGGACCCTGCAGGAAGAACTGGCGCCGTGGTCTCCGCCGTGGGCGACCCTGCACGAAAGTCACTGCGTGGAGGCGAGAAGGAGGACGAGAACGAGGAGGAGGAGGAGGAGGAGGAGGAGAAGGACGTCCTCTTGCGTGGAGGCGAGAAGGAGGAGGACGTCCTCCTTCTCGCCTCACTGCGTGGAGGCGAGAAGGAGGCGAGAGGGGAATTGGGCGAGGACGATCCCCCCGTCCACGGGGCCCTTGGCATGCCACCGCCAGCGAGCCCACGCGCACCAAGCTCAGCGGTCCCAAAGGCGAGCTGGAGGCCATCCCCTGCAGGGAAAGGGTCGGACTTGTGGGGGCCCCGTGCTGAGCAAAAACCCAAGTGGCGGCGTGATGATCGTTTCCACCACGCGCGGTTGAGGCCCCCGCTGGGGGCAGACAAAAGGCTGAGCCCTTACTCCGACCTCTCATCGGGAGGGCTTGTACCGAAAAGTGCGGCGGGGGAGGGGACCCAGGAGCAGGTAGCAGCGATGAACGTCAGCACCAAGACAGCGGATGTCTGGGGAAGTGATCGAGTAGGACCGAGGAGCGAGGAGGATCCAGGAGGACCGAGGAGGATCGAGAAGCGTGAAGGGATCGTGTAGGGATCGAGGATCGTTCATGGACGGGGGGTCGAGAAGGATCGAGGAAGATTGAGGATAGAAGATCGAGGCCTTTGGATGCCTTCGGTCTTTCTCGGAAGCCTCCAGAGGCCTCCAGGATGCATCGGGCAGAGGCCTTCTGGAGGCCGCCAACAAAGAAACTCCAGGTGCCTTCCGAATGCAGAACAATCCGAAGCCTCGATCCTTGATCCTCCTCGCTGCTCCCCGCTCCTCCCACGAAGGAGGAACGCGGGAAGATGACTACCTACCAGACCACCCCAACCCAACCCGAAGACCCGAATTTGACCCGAATTTCGGGTTGGGGGGGGTACGGATACCATATGTTTTTTCAACGTTCCCCGACCCCCCCCCCCACTGGAAATTGAAGGCAAATTGAGGGCTTCGGGTTGGGTTGGGGTGGTTTGCGTCGAGTGGTGGGAAGGAGGTCCACATCGCGTCGATCCCGAAGTGCACCTCCGGGGCGCCCAGCAGCTGGTCCCCGCGCCCGGGCAGCACCTCGAAGCTCCACGCGAGGCCCGGGAGCCCCCTCTCGGGCACGGCCTTGGCCCTGGTCCACCGTCCCCTTCCCTCCTCCCTCCCTCCCTTCTCCTCCTCCTCCTCCTGCTCCTCCTCATCCTCCTGGTCCTCTTCGTCGTCCTCCTCCTCCTCCTCCTCCTCCTCCTCCTCCTCCTCATCTCCTCCTCCTCATCTCCTCATCGTCCCTGTACGTGGCTCCTGGGGAGGAGCAGTCCGGGCAGGCAACATCCTTGTCGCCCTCAACGAACGCCGCAGCCTCAATGGGGTCTCCCCTTGGCCTCGAGCACTCTCGAGTACAAATGCAAACATCTACGCTTTTGACCCTTCCTCGACCTCTACGGCTCGGCGTTCCATATCGTACAAGAGGTAACACTGGTGGAAGGCGGCTCCTCTTTTGAAGCGGGACTCTCGCGTGAGACTTCCGCGAAACACATGCCCACGACTTCGACATTCTGCAAAGCTTAGACGGGTGGAGGGCATGTTCTTTCCAAAATAACGCATCCCTGGGCCTCCTTAAAGTGGTCTCGCATGGGACATCCGCGGAGCAAATGTCCACGTCCTGCAGTGCTTAGACGGATGCAGGGCATGTGCTTCTCGAAATAGGGCTACCCTGGGCGTCTTCAAAGTGGAAGGAGAACTGTTACAACAGGCGCCCTCGTATGACTGGCGGACCGGCCAGCCACTCGTCATTCCAGGGGGGGCGCCCGTAGTGGAAAGGAGAACTTTTATGGACTTCGGAGGAGGGGACTTGGACGGGGAGGGTGTATCGCAGCATCGGTTGCTGCATATTGGGTTTACTCCAATTCCCCTTCCTCCCCCGCCTCGCCCTCCTGCTCCGCCTCATACTTCGCCTCCTGCTCCTCCCTCTCCTCCTCCTCCTCCTCCTCCTCCTCTTCCTCCTCCTTCTCCTCCTCCTCATCCTTCTCCCCCTGCTCCTCCTCCTCCTCCTCCTCCTCCTCCTCCTCCTCCCCCTCCTCCTCCTCCTCCTCCTCCTCCTCCTCTTCTGCCTCCTCCAAATCTCGTTTCCCTCTCGACGTCTCCCCGTCCCCCCCAGTCAACAATGACTCCATGGGAAAACTGCTCCCCCCGTCTCCCATGAGGATGGCCGGGGGGGGCAGGGGGGGGGGTGAACCCGCCCCCGCCGGCGTATTTCTTAGACACACAAGACGCCATTCGCTGATCTTCCCCACGAGTTTCTCAATCGGAGCGTCTTCGAAGCCTCAAAGGGTGCTGCCGCTGCAGAGTGGGCGTCACGTGTTCCTGTGTGGATCGGCGCTTTGCCCCCGCAGTTCACAGAACGACGCTCTCGCCCCAGCGCGGGCCCCCTGTCTGACTCTGAATGACTCCTCGTTGTCGTCGCCCCGCTCCTTTCCGCTCCCCTGCCTTCTCCTGGTCATCCTGATCCTGCCGCTTCTCCCGCTCCAGCTCCTGCTGTTGCTGTTGCAACTCGTCCTCCTCCTCCTCCTCCTCCTCCTCCTCGCCTCCTCCTCCTCCTCCTCGCCTCCTCCTCCTCCTCCTCCTCCTCCTCCTCGCCTCCTCCTCCTCCACCTCCGGCTCATACCCCTGCTCATCCAACACCTGCTCCTCCTCCTCCTCCTCGAGTGTACGCAGCTCCCAGCTTCTCCTGTTCCTTCTCCTCCTTTTTGCGTTTGGCGAACGTGAGGAGCTAGCCTGTCGCGTTCTTGCAGGAGCTGAAGAGTAACGTCAAAAGCGACTCGGGTCAGTGTGCCTGGCGGGCGCCGCGGAAAATGAGGGAACACGAGCCCAGGAACAAGACATACTTGAGAGCAGGCGCCCGCCAAGTAGAGGACGACGCACACCGTAGCGAATAAAAGCCTCCTCCTCCAAGTCTGCAGATTGCAACCCTTGATAATGGTGTGAATAAAAGTGCAACCCTTGTAGAGAGCCTCCCAGTCTGTAAAAGTGAATAATAAACCTGAGAAGTAGAGCAACCCTTGATTAATGGTGTATGTCGCCTCGGCAAGTTAAACAGGAAACTGAACAATGGCAATTCTAGACCCCACACCTGCATCTTTCCCGCAAAGACCCCCCTCTACCATAGTCAACATCACCTACCCCCATCCTCGTCGTGTACCTTGCCTGCGGTACGCAGGATGATGATGCGATCACGTCAGCTTCAGGCGTACAAAAAAAACAAGTGAGCAGAAGCCTGCCTAGTGTGTGCAAGTCTTGGGCTGCTACCCTAAATGTTAGAGCTGTGCTGCTGTGCTGGAGCAGGCAAAGAAGGTGACCGAAGCTGGTCAGTACTGCGCCTCCACCGCCTCCGTCGCCGCATAATACCCCCCCCAGCCACCATCACCTTAGAGTCAGACGCCCAACGAGCAAATGGACGGTGACTGCCTAGTGTGCAATTCTTGGGCTGCTACCCTGAAAGTAAAACAAGAAAAAGGTGTAGCTGCGCTGGAGCCGTCACAGAGAGAGGTGAGGCGATGCGGCATAATGTGACCAAATGAGCTTCAGGTGTACAGAAAAAAGCAAGTGAGCAGGTGCCTGCCGAATGTGTGCAATTCTTGGGCTGCTACCCGTTAAGGTTAAAGCTGTGCTGCTGTGCTGGAGCAGGCAAGAAGATGTGACCGAAGCTGGGCGTTGCTGAAGTCCTCCACCACCTCCACCACCGCCCCATAATAACCCCCACCCCAAGACTCCATTACGTTAGACACAGACGTCCAATGCAAGTGAACGGTGACAGTGTAGTGTGCAACTCTTGGTCCTTATCCTCCTCCTCATCCGCCTCCGCCAGTGTCCTGCTCGTCGTCGTCCCCCTCCTCATTGTTCTTGACACGAGGGGACTCCAGGTCAGCCATGGCACGCGTCCGGCGGGTAGAGAAAAAAGAAACGCAATGGGATGGGATGGTGGAAGGGGTAGATTGTCAGATGCGGCGCGAGCGCACCTAACTTGCTTTATCCCTCTCTCCTCCTCTTTTTTGTCTCCTAACTCATCTTTCTACTCCCGCTCTTCATCTTCCTCCTGTCTGTTTTCATCCATTTCCCCTCATCCCTTCGCCCACGCCCCCCTCTCCACTTCTCCGAACTTATTTTGCCTCAGTCCTCTCTTGTTCATCGGATATCCTCTTTCCCTGAGGCTTACCTCCTTCTTTCTCCCTCCTCCTTTCTTCTTGCCCTCTTCATCCTCCTCCTCCTCATCATCATCATCATCCGCCTCCTCGTCTTCCACAACCAAAGAGGAAGGAGACGGACGCCGACAGAGAGTTCCCAGCATGTGCTGGCCGGGAGCGACGTCAACCGAGAGTGCAAACTCCTGGCCGGCGAAGGAGGAGGCTGGATGGCCAAAATGAGCGCGGAGGGCGAGGTGAATTAGCAGGAGGGTGAAGATGGGGAGGAAGCAGGACGCGGGAGGAGCGGGGGAGCAAGGAAGAGGCGGGAAGGGAGAGAAGGAGAGGAAGGATCGAGTTTGGCAAAGGCGGTGCGGGAGAAAGATGATGAGGAGGAGAAGGAGGAGAAGGAGGGAGGAGGACTCGAGTGCACGAAGTCCTGGCCGGCGGACACGGTGGCAACCCGCCTGGTGGAGAACAGCGAGCGTTCCGCCACTCCCGCGTGCGGTGGAGACTCGAACAGCGAGTGCCGGACCGCGAGCAGCTGCCGCAACTGATCGATGCCACCCGCCAGGGCAACAAAGGCCGGATCGTCCGTGCCATCGCCGCGCAGCAGGCGGACCTTTCGTCGGAACCTTTCGGGGATGAACACGCTGACAACATCATAGAGCCTCATGACGAGCCAGGGGGTGTTCAGTATGCAGACCTCCCCGAATACCTCGGCGGCGATGTGTTCCTGGAAGGTGCCTATGTCGCGGTGGTTCTGCTTGTGCCACTGCGGGCAGTTCAGCATGGAGACAGAAACCCCGCCCACGTCTATCAGCGTGATCGCCTTCACGAGTCTGCCCTGCGCACGGCTCTGTCTGTCGCATTCGATCATGCGCATCACTGTCGCCCCGTACATGTACTGCACCCAGTGCTCCCACTCTAGCTTGTCGATCATCTCGGCCATCTCGAACCGCGCGAGAGAAATATAATTGATCAGGTCACCCTGTGGCGAGGGCTTCGGCGCAGTGAACACTGCGCGGACGAAGTGCTGCACCTCCCCGTAGTAGGGCAACATCGAATCGAGTGGTATCGGCGAGCCAACCCTGTCCCACTCCTCAGGGCTGCCCACATCATGCTCACCTCCCCCCAAAGACGGGGGGAGGAGGAGAGGCCGTCATGAGGAGGTGAGGAGCCCCACACAAGGGGGACAGCAAGGTACTGTTCTTCGCTACTCCGCGGGCCTTTCAAGGCATGCGTTCTGACCCGACCTGCGAGGCGAATCTGGCCGTGGCGACGAGGGGCGGATGGCGGCTTCCGTACAGCGAAGGCCATTCCACAAGAAACCTTCCACAAGAAACCCAACTCTGAGATTCCAGGACGTCCATTAGTTTTTGGTGTGGGAACGTCACGCTCTCCATAGCAAAACCATCGACACCCACGAAGCCGAGGCCACCCTGGAGGCAAGCACGGCGTTTCTTGGCATGGGCTTCCACTGTTTGTCTTCCTCGTCTGACCCTCTGGCTTCCGCCGCCCCCGCGTCCTGGACCAGGTGGCGTAGCATTGTGTCTAAATCGCACGCGTCCCAGCGCTGCAGGAAGCGGGCTAGCCAGGCGGTGGCCTTCGCCAGGTCGCCGTCGTTGCCACGCAGCACCCGCGTCAGGGCCAGGTCGCCGAAGCAGCACGAGTGGGCGCGCCCCTCCGCCGTGCGGCGCTGCAGGTCGTCGGCAAAGTGTTCCCGCAGCTGCGCAAGAAGCAGCCTCTCGTCCTCCCCGCTCGTCCGCGCGCGCGGGCGCTCGGATGGCGAGGAAGGGGGGGGGAGAGGGAGGAAGGGAATGGGGAGGAGGAGGAGGAGGAGGAGGAGGTGGAGGAGGAGAAGGAGGAGGAGAAGAAGGACGAGGAGGAGGAAGAGGAGGAGGCGGAAGGAGGAGGAGTAGGAGGAGGAGAAGGACGAGAAGGAAACGAAGTAGGAGTAAAAGAGAGGAGGAAAGCAGGAGAAGGAGGAGGAGGAGGAGGGGCAGGAGGAGCAGGAGGAGGAGGAGGGACAGGAGCGAGGAGGAAGAGGAGGGTAAGGAGGAGGAGGGGGAGGGAGGAGGACGAGGAGGAGGAGGAGGAGCAGGAAGAGGAGAGAGGAGGAGGAAGAGGAGGAGGAGGAGCAGGGGGAGCAGCAGAGAGGAGGGGAGGAGGAGGAGGAGGAGGAGGAGAGGAAGGAGCGAGAAGGACGAGGAGGGTAACAAGGATGAGGGGGAGGATGATGATCAGGAGGTTCATGATGATGATGATGATGATCATGATGATGATGATGATATGATGATGATGATGATGATGATGATGATGATGATGATGATGGTGATGATGATGATGATGATGATGATGATGATGATGATGATGGTGATGATGATGATGATGATGATGATGCTGATGATGATGATGATGATGATGATGATGATGATGAGATGATTGATGATGATGGATGGAGGAGTAGGAGGCGGAGGAGGAGGTAGAGGAGAAGGAGGAGGAGAAGGAGAGGAGGAGGAGGAGGAGGAGGGGGGAGGTGGAGGCGGAGGACGCGGAGTAGGAGTAGGAGGAGGAGGAGGGGAGGAGGAGGTGGAGGAGGAGGAGGAGGGAGGAGGAGGAAGGGAGGAGGAGGAGGAGGAAGAGGAGGAGGAGGGGAGGAGGAGGAAGAGGAGGAGGATGAGGAGGAGGAGGAGGAGGAGGATGAGGAGGAGGCGCAGAAGGAGAAGGGGGGAGTTGGAGGAGGACGAAGAGGAGGGGGTCGGAGGAGAAGGATACGGAGAAGGAGGAGGGGAAGGAGGTCTAGGGGGGGGAGGGAGAAGAGATGATGAGGATGATATCGAGGATGCAGTTTAGGATGCGAAGGAGGAGGAAAAGGGGGAGGAGGTGGAGGAGGAGGACGAGGAGGAAGAGAAGGAAGAGGAGGAGGAGGATGAGACAGAGAAGGAGCAGGAGAGGAGCAGGAGGAGGAGGAGGAGGAGGAGGAGGAGGAGGAGGGAGGGGGTGGAGAAGGAGGGGGGAGGAGGAGGATGAGGAGGAGGAGGAGGAGGAGGAAGAAGAGGACCACTGACGGGAAAAGGGGGAGGAGGAGGAGGAGGAGGAGGGAGGAGGAGGAGGAGGAGGAGGAGGAGGAGGAGAGGAGGTGGAGGAGGAGGAGGAGGAGGAGGGGGGGGGAGGAGGAGGAGGAGGAGGAGGAGAAAGAGGAATAGGAAGAGGAGGAGCATCCGGAGCACCTGGATCAAGCGACTCGGTCGCTTATGGTAACATCGGGACCGCTCGGCGCGGTGCGGCCTTCCCTCAGAAGGCACTCGAACGAAAGGAGCGATTCACCTCGCCGGCGCTAATGCGATGGCTGCACCGAGTAAAGAGAGAAGATCTCCAACCTCGGCTCCGCTATCTGTCGGCGAGCGCCCCTGCGCAGGTACCCATTTCCATTCCTTACGTTGGGCGCACCCCTCTCCGCGCTGAAAAGAAAGCCATATCCCAATACTGGCGTTTGGTGTCGACGCAATGGGAGCCACGCGACGTACGCATGGCTTGGGCTTGAAACGACTGGCTTGAATGATGCGTTGACGTTCAAATTCGTTCTGCTCGGCAGCTCGCTCACGGAGAACACTCCTCATCTGACTCTACCGTGCCCGGATCCCAGCATCGTAGCTGATCGCATTGGATTCCAACTTCGCCTTCCCTTTTCTCACAGACGTTGGATGGATCAAGGGCTGGGCTAGTAGGGTTGGGCTCCAACTTCACCGTCCGCTTCTGGCAACGAGGTGCTTGGTATGGCTCCGAGAAAGCAGTGCGAACGTCGCTGGCGACGTCGGGCTGCGACTTCGCCCGAGGGATGCCCTGATTGCGGACTTGCAGATGATCATGTCGGGCTCCAACTTCGCCTTCCGTCCTCTCGCACACTTCGGCTGGATCAGGGGCTAGGCTAACAGCGTCGGGCTCCAACTTCGCCGTTCGCTTCTCGCGATAAAGTGCCTGGGATGGCTCCGAATACACCGTGCGAAAGCCCCTGACGACGTCGGGCGGCGACTTCGCCCCAGAAAAGCCCTAATCCCATAATTGCAGGTGATCACGTCGGGCTCTACCTTCGCCTTCCCTCCTCTCGCACGCGTCGGCTGGACCAGGGGTTAGGCTAGTAGTGTCGGGCTCCAACTTCGCCGTCCGCTTCTCGCAGTGACGCGCCTGGAGTGGCTCCGAATACACCGTGCGAAAGTCACTGGCGACGTCGGGCGGCGACTTCGCCCCAGAAATGCCCTGATGGCAGAATTGCAGGTGATCCTGTTGGGTTTAAGCGTCGCCTTCCATCATCTCATACACTTTGGCTGGATCGGGGGCTAGGCTAGTAGTGTCGGGTTCAAACTTCGCCGTGCGCTTCTCGCAATGAAGTGCCTGGGATGACTCGAGTACACCGTGCGAGGGTCACTGGCGACGTCGGGCGGCGATTTCGCCACATACATGCCCTGATCCAAGTATTGCACATGATCACGCAGGGTTCTAACTTCGCTGTCCGTCATCTCACACACGTTGGCGTGATCTGGGGCTAGACAGATAGTGTCGGATTCCACCTGCGCCGTCCGCTTCTCGCAAAGAAAAGCCTGGGATGACCCCGAATACACCGTGCAAGGGTCATTGGCGACGTCAGGATGCGACTTCACCACATCCCGCCACGACATGCCCTGATCCCAGGATTGCAAATGATCGGGTCGGGCTCCGTTTTCGCCTTCCGCCATCTTGCATGATCCCAGAATCGTATGTGATGGCATTGGGCTCTAGCTTCGCCTTCCGTCTCGTACACGCTGGCTGGACCAGGGGCTCGGCTCGTAGAGGTGGGCTCCAACTTCGCCTCGCGGATCTCGCAATGCCGTGGCGGTTGTAGCCACTGCTCTTCCAGCCCCAACGTCCATGCCAAGTCCTCTGGAAGCTGCCACAATCCACAATGCTGCATCGTGCGGAGCTGCTCCACCTCGCGGGTCAGGCGGTGGATGGCTTGCTCAGCCGACCATTGTGCCCAAGCCCAGCGGGCTTTGCGCTCTCGTAGGGTGAGCCTTGGGCGCCACGCTTCGGCCCCCATCTCGTAGCACAACTAAACTCCAGTGTTCGTTGATGTCAGAAACGGTCAAACATGCGACAGCATCCCTCAAGCACCTCGGGGAGGTCCTGGAGTGGCCTGGGCAAGAAGCCTGGGCCGAAGTTGCTTGAGGGAGGAGGAGGAGGAGGAGGAGGAGGAGGAGGAGGAGGAGGAGGAGAAGGAGGAGGCGGAGGAGGAGGAGGAGGAGGAGGAGGTAGGAGAAGGAGGAAGAGGAGGAAGAGGGGAAGGAGCAGGACGAGGGGGGGGGGGTTAGGGAGGAGGGAGGATGAGGATGAGATTGAGATGAGGATGAGGATGAGGAGGAGGAGAGAAGGAAGAGGAGGAGGAGGAGGGGAAAGAGAAGAAGGAAGGCGGAGGAGGAGGAGGAGGAGGAGGAGGAGGAGGAGGGGGAGGAGGCGGAGGAAGAGGAGGAGGGGGAGGGGAAGGAAGATGAGGAGGAGGAGGGGGAGAAGGAGGAGGAGGAGGAGGAGGGAGGAGGAGAGGAGAAGGGGAGAGAAGAGGAGGAGGAGGAGGAGGAGGAGGAGGAGGAGGAGGAGGAGGAGGGACAGGAGGAGGAGGACGCGAATGTGTAGCGTACCACGCCTGCACTCCCTTGCTCTGGCCCTCCCCTCCCCCCTCGCGGGGGAGCGCTCCTCCCCCCTCTCCTCCGACCTCTTGCCCCAGGCCAGTCGCCATGCCGCCACCCAAGCTTGCCCGAGCACGCGTACGGACTGCCTCTGCCGCCTACAGGCCTCCTAGATAGGGGTCCGAGTAGATGGGGGCGGAGGATCTCGTCACATCGCCGATACGTCGGCGATGCATCGCCAATGCATCGCCGATGCATCGGCCATGCACTGACGGCGTCGGCGATGCATCTGCGATGTCGGCTTGGAGAGGGCCCCACATCGAGCCGTATCGCCGATGCATCGGCGATGCGGCGCGATCCTCCGATCCTATCTACTTGGACCCCATGTAGGAGGCCTAGAAACGCGCTGCGACGTGAGCAAACATGTCGGAACTCCCTTCGGCCCCGCTCCGCCGCGGAGCCTGCCATCGCTCGGGCGTCCTTTCCCCGTGCATATGTCGGTTTCGGGCGTGCTTGTTGTTGCCAGGTGCTCCAGGATGCTCCTCGAGGGTCCTCGCCGAGAAAAAAAAATGCACACGTCCGAGCGATGTCGAGGGAGCGGCGTTCACATTTTCGGCTCCGAGGGGCGGGCCGAGGATCGACGACGCCTCGGTAACTGCGACGCGGAGCGGGGCACACGGGCCGTGCGCGGACAGGACGCGCGCAGAAGAAAAGCAACACAGCAGCATAAACAGAAACATTTTGGCGCTCCGCGCTGATTTCTTGGATCTGCGCGAGCGCGCCAGGGGCGGCGCTGGAGGCGTCGCCAGGGGGCCCTGCACGGACCCAAGCAGTCCGCGCGGAGCGCCAAAAGTCTAGGCTTACGGCGCTTTCTCCTCTTCGAGCGTGTGCCCTCCTGGCCACTGGGGCCCCTGCACGTCCGCTTTCTGCCCTCGTCGTCGGAGAGGTCGTGCCGCCGATGGGCGCCCCGTCGGCCCGCCGTCGCCGTCTCTTCGTGCGCCGCCGCCGCCGCCGGCTGCTGCCTCCGTGCCCTTCTGCCGGCGCATCGTGCCCCATTCCGCGGGCGCGCGGTGAGGCCGGCCCATGGTTCTAGAGCTTATGTGCACATGCACATAAACATACATACCTACATCATGCATGCATGCATACATACATACATGCATACATACATACATACATACATACATACATACATACATACAAACATACATACATACACACATACATACATACATACATGCATACATGCATACACGCATACACGCGTATATACATACACACATACATACACACATACATCCATACATACATACCTACCTACCTACATACCTACCTACCTACCTACCTACCTACCTACATACATACATACATACATACATCATGCATACCTACATACATGCATGCATACCTGCATGCATGCATGCATGCATGCATGTATGCAAGCATACACCCAGTCATACGCACAAGCATGCACATCTACACGGCACTGCCAGGCGGACGATGGATGCCGGGCGATTTATGAGAACTCCGACCGCAGGCGACATCTGCCATCCATCCCGGGCCGTCCAGGCCAGGGCGAGAGACGAGGGGCTTAGGCACGATGGCAACTTCCGAGACCCCCCGAATTCCGCAAGGACAGACTGGGCCGCCAAGGCCGAACCAAAAACATCCAACAAGTCAAAACGCACACAATGGTGTTCACCCGTGCCCCAAGAGACCCCGTCCGAGGGAAGGTCGTCCAAACCCGCAGCGAAGGTCCACAGGCGATTGAGAGCCAAACGCTGGGAGACTTGGATCATTATCTTGGCCAGGGCCCTCGCGAATCGCAGCGAGCATGCAGCGGCAAGGGCCGTCCAGTTTCGACCGCCAGGAGCCTTCCCACTAAGGGTGATGTGAGGTTTGTGGGACAAGCTGCACACTCCGTTACGGCAAACGCACTTCGGAAAGAGAGGGGAGAGAGAGGGAGAGAGCCAAGCGGAGAGGCGAGTGGGTTTCTGCCATCTCGTACCAAACTGGCACATGTGAAGGTTGGCTGACTGATGTTCAGGGCTCCTTACACACTTTTACCATATCAGGCGCAGACCAGAGCATGGAAGACGCGGGGCTCTCTATGTATATTGGAACTCCACACAAGACGCACAGTTTGACCATTCAACAGCTGGAACGAAAGGTGGCGTTGCCAGCGGCCAAACGGGCCTGCTCGACATCCGACAAATGTTCGGCAGGAGCTCCCATGGGCCACTCGCGCGTGCGAAGGGGGCGTCGAAGGGCACGACTCCACGAAGCACAGGGCGTCCCAAGAAAAACGCCCGAGACGCACCCGCTAGAAACCCAACCGCGGATCAGCCTTTGAAGCGTCCTGTGGAAATGGTCTTCTTCACGCGAATTCCGAAAATCAAGGTCGATGGCGGAAACACCCATGGCCCGCAGGGCCGTTGACAGGGTTCCGGACCCAGCGAAAAGCTCGAGAAAAAACACGATGTCGAGACGGATTGTTGGACCCCCCCCCCTCTCTTCATTTCCTTCCTGAAGCGGCGCTGCAGGCGGGCTCGAATTTCACGCGAGGGGAGGGGGGAACGCATGCTCACTGGCCGCTTGCGCGAGCGGTGTCCCGAACACTTGGGCGCATCCTCTTGGCGGCGTAGGGCCGGCGCGCACGTCGCGGGGACGAGGTGGCCGATGCTGGCCTCCACGACTCCCCCGGTAGCGCGCGCCGTCCAGAAGTGATCCATCATGAGATGCCCGAGACGACCCACGTCGCCGCGAATAACGCTCAGCTCTGCCAGTAACCTGGTGTCTTTGACATATATTTTCAGGCCTCGCACTGCCGCCCATCGGCCTCCCGGCTGCACCTGGAAGGCACCCCTCAGGCACTGGCTTTGCCTGAGTCGACTGGCCACGGCCAAGAACGACCAACTGCTGCTCTCGGCGGTGATCGTCGCTCGCAGGTGCTCCAGAGAAGGGATCAGCCACGGTCCGCGTCGATCCACACCCTCTCGGCGTGCAGTCCAGTCTTGCCCGGCACCAGCGATGCCGCCCGCGCGGCCATCCAGGGGGGGCCAGCCTCCACCAGCAGCAAGCAGACGGCCATCGCCACAGCCTTCGGCATAGGCAGCCGCATCCCAGCAGGCACCCTCTGCTTCCAAGTCGCTGAGGCCCGCGCGGGGCGGGGCCACGGGACCTTCCACGCGCTGCGGAGGCCCAAGTAAACGTGAGCCAGGCTGGCCAGGACCTGAGCGCCGCGATCTGATGACACCCCGCGGTGGAGGCAGTCATTGAAATAAAACGCCAGGGCCGCGTCCATCTCCTCCACCGTGCTCCAGTCGAGCCCCTTCAGCTTGCAGAACTGCAGAGAGGCCGTCGCGGATTTCTTGTAGAGGGCCTCCGTCGCAGGGCGAAAGGCGATCTGCTCGAGGGCGGTGAGCGATCCCGCGGGCCCACTCTTGGCCGTCGGGCGCAGTGCCGCCGCCCCGCGCGCCCCGCGCCGAGCAACGGCCTAGGCCCTCGCCTACGGGCGCCTCGGCGTGGACCGCGGCACCCCCCTCGCACGGAAGGCGGCCGGGGGTCCTGCAGCTTGAAAACCAGCCAAGGCGGCCGCGAGAAAGAGCATCGGAAGGGTTGCGTTCGATCGGCATCCAACGAACATGTAGGCGACACCTCGACGACAATAATAAGGCGGCCATCTCCAACGTCACAGACTGGAGGTGGCTCGACTTAACACGACCCTTACAGCGTGCTAGGGCTAGACACATGTTGTCGACGAGGATAGCCACTCGCCGCCCGACGGCGGCCCCAGCTCGCAGGATCTGCTTGTAGGCCAAGACGAGGGCCTCCCCCTCCAGCTGCGCGATGTCAGCCTTGCACCCGGCCCGGACAGCCAAGACATCCTTCCAGTCCTTGGATGCCATGAAACCCGCGGGAATCTCTTCGAAAAACAACGGGTCCACGCCCATGAACCCCATGGGCTCGTAGTCAGGCGGTCGGGCGGCAGCCTCCGCGCCAAGAGCGCTGTCGAGACCCCCGGGGCTTTCGCCATCCTGGAGACCATAGGGCCGAGCGTACTCAGCACCCTCGACGCGGCACCTCGCCCGTTCAGTGACGCGATTTAGTTCAGCGACTTGCCCGGGATAAAGATTCCGATGACATGCTCCCAATCCGAACTCAGTAGCGCCCGGCGCACATATCTGAGGCTGCCACCCAGCGCGCAGATTGGTAGTGAGGAGGGGGAGGATAGCATCTAATCTACGGTGCTCTAGCGCCACCTGAGGCCATGGATGGGGTCGCAACGTCCTTAGTCGTTTCGAGAATGGCACAGGTAACGTTATGAACGGACAGGGCCTCCCGACGAACCATCGAGGACCAAGTGGCATGCCCGACTAAAACCCTAAGTAGCACGCAGCTGGCAACGCCCCGGGCCCAAACGCGCTCGAGCGCGAAGCGCAGGCGCCACATATTTCGAAGCTTCACGGACAGCCAGCGGCCGGCGACGAGGGACAGCCCCAGAAAAGACGCGTCACCAGACGGCTCGCAGACTTCGTGCACAAGAAGGCCAACCGACTTGAGCTTATTGCTAACGCGATTGAAAGCTTCGCTGACATTATCGCGAGACTGACCAAGCATGAGCAAGTTATATACATGCCCCGCGGCCGCGGTGCCATCTGCGGCCCGAGGAGCGACCCCGGGCCCCCCCGTCCGAGATGACGCGAGCAGAGCTAAAACCTGCCTCACGGATGGCGCTTCGCATCGCGGATAGACAAAAGTAGAGAGCCCAAGAGAACCGCATGGGCATCGCGGTGACGCACGGGAGGAGGGGCGCCCCCGAGGTCGAAGGTACTCCCTCCAGGCCAAAGGACATGAGCAACCACGAATTGATCGGTGGAAGCGAAATTCATTCTATGATCTCAGGAGGCGCACGAATGTGGTTGAAAGCGCACTGAACACCACCTGACGCAACGAGACAGGGTCCTCCTTCGGACTCGATGGCAGAAAAGGCAGAGGCAGAAGGGAGACGAGTGGAGGGACGGGAATGGAAATAGCAGTTCGCAACTCTCGTGTCAAATACCAAGCGCAACTGTCCGAAGTACTCTGCTACGCAAAAACACTCCGAGGGGCCCCTTCCGACCGCGCGACGGCAAGTCGGCGGGCGTCCCGCGGCGGGCGAGACAAGCGAGGAAGTCGGCATGGGCAGAGGGGGGATGAGATGGGGCGGGATCGACGTAGGCACCTTTGGGACAAGTCTCCCGCGCGAGAGTCTGGGCCCCCGAACTGGGCCTCAGCACGTGCGATCTCCAGTCCTCAAGCCAAGAAGAATCGGTCTGAGAGAGCAGCTCATGAAGGTCCACTGGGGCCGCGCCCTCGCCAGGCCAGGCAACTAAGTCGCGAGGGTAAGGGCGGGCGGGGCCCGCATCCCCATAAAGCGGACGATTGCTCGGGAGCTCGCTGAGGGCCCCCTGAGCGAAACCCGCCTCGCTGAGAGGGGGGCCAAGGCGACGGAAGCAATCGCTGAAACGATCGAGCACCTGCTTCTGCGAAAGAAAGGCAGGGCCATCAGCGGGCACTTTATGCGCGCACATCTGGTTGAGAACGCGCGCTGCATCATTAGCCGAATGGACAGAGTGCTAGAGGCGCTGGCGGCGGCGAGTGACGGCCCGACACAGGCCAAGATCGGCTCGGGGCGGAACGTCGAGCAAAGGTAGCGGGAATACATCCCTCTGTCTGAAATCGCTGGAAGAATGGCTCGCACATTTGCTCGAGATCGGGCGCCCATCACCCAGCCCCGGAGGAGGCTCACTAGCCATCCCCGGGCCAACCGCAAATGCCGCCGCCTTTCTTGGCGCCTTTCTTGGCGAGGGCCCGTTCCTCGCGCGCCTTGCGGCGCTCCTTCTGGTACTCCTTGGTCAACAGATCCTTCGCATAGTCCGCGAGCTGCGGGCTGACGCATACACATCCGCGGACCATGTCCTCCCCCTATGTACAGGTGGTTGTCAGCAACGCCCTCCGAGCCTCCAGCCAGTCGGTCGCGGTCGCGCTCCTCCTGGACCTGGAACACATGGCACAGGGACTCAGCACAGGCCAGATTGGTGACCATGAGTTGATCGTGCAACACCATCTGCTCGAGCATTCGGCAAGCGCGCTCGTTTTCGTTCACCCCGACGTCTGACGACGAGAGCCTGGCCTCCGTGCGGAAACGCATATGCCGGCCCATCGGGCTCCCTCCGTTCTGTTCCATGAAGCGCAGCACCCACATGACCGTTCGCGGGCCGCGAATCGGCCAATCAGGCTTCTCGCATCAGCATGATGGCGCCCCTGAACGCCCGATGCCGATTCCCCGGCGCGTCGAGGGCCACAGATTGCACTCGCGCGTTCGCAGGGCCGCGAGGCGCCGCGGGGGCAGCGGCCGCGCCTGGGTCAGGGCCGCTCCATTCACCGCGGCTGGAGCGACGGCTGGGGCTGCGAGAGGAGCGGGGGCGCCCGCGAAGGCCAGAGGGCCAGCGGCGCCCGCCGGGGCCGCTGGCGGCGCGGCGCCCGCTGCAGGCGGGATCGCCACGGCAGCAGGCGGCACCGAGCCCCCCCCTGGCCCAATGGCGGCGGCGGCGCCCAAGGCTGGCCCAGCCAAGGGCACGAGCCCGCCGCCAGGCGCTGGGCCAGCGGCCAAGCCTCCTGCCCCACCGCCAGCCGCGAGCGCAACTCCAGGCGCTGCGGGCGCGGGCCCTGCGATCGCGGCGGCCAGGCCGGCCACGCCGCCAGCGGCGCCACCTGGAGCGGGCGCAGGGCCAACTGCAGCGGCAGCACCTGCCATGCGAGCGAAACCAGGTCGGCCCACCACTCTCACCGTGAAGCCAGCACGTAGAGGAAGACAAAGGCGGTGCGCAGCAGCATCCCGCAGCCCTTGCAAAACAGCAGGGAGAGGAACATCCCGAAACCGTTGAACGTGATCGGTTCCGATCGCCGCTGCGTCGCGGCCCAGCGCCCCTCCCTCCAAGATCGCAAACTCCTGGATGTCGCCTCCTGCTGATAGATCCTCATCATACTGATCGCCGTCCCGTATCAAAATGCTCACAATGGGCAAGGCGCCCGCTGGAATAAGAAGAATGACTCGCTCGTGCCAGATCCGATGCCAAACGACACCGTAGCGGACCGCAATCACGTCGCCTTCAGCAAGGCCTACATTCAGAAGCGGGTTCGCCATCACGCCGTCGACCGAGCAATGAGGTTCCGAGACCTGAAGCGAGCAGCCTGGTCTCGCGCGATGTCGTCCAGCGACCGCGCTGCAGGCTTCTCAACCTTTTTGCAAGCGGCCGAGCGCGCCCCCGTGCCGCAGGCATCCGACGTATTCGATGAGCAAGAAGCCCACCGCCGTGCAGGAGAGAGCCGCCCACGGGAAGTAGCAAGTGCCCTCGTCAATGATAACCTCCTTCGCCGCCTCGCCTGGCCCACAGACCAGCTGTGGAGCACAGTGGCAGTCTGGGCAAGGAGGTGGCGGCCGCGACAAACCCCACACGACGGCCGCGGTGTTGACCGCCCTCGAGCACTCGGCCGCCAGCACCTGGGCCAGCCCCTGCATGCGCGTGCGGGGACGGCGTGAACACCCCTCCTCCAGAGCTTGAGCCGCGTGCCACGGATCGCACACGCGGAGTGTGATGTTTCACGTTCGGCACTCTGACGTATAAACTTCACGTGCTTGCGGATATCAAACCAACAATACACATGCAGACATTTATACATACATACATACACATATATATATACACATACATGCACACATACATACCTACTCAGGTACATGCATACAAACAAACATCCATACATTTGCACACATACATGCATACATGCATGCATGTATGCATACATACAAACGTAAATGCATACATACATGCTTTCATAACTAAATAACTACATACATACATACATTGTACATACATTCATTCATTCATACACACGGCCATACATGCGCACACGCACATCCATACATACATGCATACATGCATACATACGTACACACATGCACATAAACATACATGCCTATATGCATGACTACATGCATACATAAATCCATACATACTAGCGAACACACACATACACGCATACACACGTACTCACATGCATTCACACACCTATATGCACGCCTACGAACATAAGCCAAGGCAACCCTACATATGTACATACATACATGCATGCATCTGTACATCCATGCATGCATACAGCCATGCATGCACATACATAGATGCATGCATACATACATACATGTATACACACATGCATGCCTACACGCATGCATACTAACCTACACACATACAGGTATAC